AAAAAATATTTTATGACTGAGCATAACTCTCAGGTATTCTTTTCCAAACAAGTAGAAAAATACTTTTGAGGGCTCTAGTAATAGGATAATTATTTAACCTGGGATGAAAGATGTAGCATGAGGATATTGGTTGTTGTTATAGGCAACCGTTACTCATTACCAGTGATTTTAGATAAAGCAGATTCTTCAAGGGAGAACTTGTTCTAAGGGAGCTTCTGGGTTTTCAAGCCCCGGATGGAGACACAGCCTTTGTGATGTCATCTGCTTAGACGTAGTATGCAGGATTATAGCATCTTCTTACCCTTGCAGATACTTCTTCCAGTACCACCATGAACCATTCCTTCCCACTGCTTGCCCATTCCCTTTGTTCTGAATGCTGTGTCAGGGAATTTAACCTCTTCTCCAGTTCTGCAGTTCTCCGGAGTGAATTTCAGTACTTGCTGACAAATTAATGTCTTTAAGCAGATGTTAGTACTAAATTAATAGTTTCAACTAGAACAGCATTTTTACTCTTGATTGCCATAGCTCTGTCCATTTTTCTGTTGTCTCTCATGTCCATTTGGGAATGCTGCAGAGCTTTCACAGAGGTTCAAGATATTAAAGTACCCTCATCGCACTGTGTTGTTTTTCACTATACATAGCAAATTGAAGCAAGAGGGGTGCCTGAAATTAGGATGGCTTTTCAGCTGCTTGCAATACATAGCTCATAAGGGCTATTTAACACAGACTTCTGATTAGCATAATATTCTTGCATGTTAAATGTTTCATATGACTTTTTTTTTTTCAGCTACTGTGGGAAATAAAATGGCTTTACTATAAGAAAATGTTTTCTTGGTAAATGTACTTATGAAAGTGTTTTAACTCCTTACTACTACTCAGAACCATCATGTGCTATCCTAACCATGTCTTCAGTTGTGCTTGTTCATTCACAAACATTGAAGAGCCTACACTGCTATTCTTCCTCAACCAGCTGTTGGTTTTGTTATGCCAAACTCTGGTTTCTGTAGCATAGATGGAAGTCATTATTTTGATTATAAATGGATCAAAATTTGCTTCATCACTTTTATCCTGACTCTGAAGGAATTTTGCATGTAGAGAAAAGAAGCATACTTTTCCCCAGAAGTAATCTCTTGAAACTACCCTGTCATAAAGTAAAAGAGCTCTGTGCCGAGTGTTCAGACTTATTTAGTCAATAAACTAAGAGGTATGGGCCAGGCTGGACAATGGAGAAAGCTTTTAAGGTGATGGTCTGCACAACCCATGTACTCAGAGGTATAAGCACGCTTGGGTACCAACTGAAATTAGGACCTGGTCTAGAAAAATGCCAGAGCGTAAAAGCTTTTATCTGATCTGGTCTCAGATGGACAAAGCAGAGCTTGGTGTGGTAGATTAGACCCACAGGCACAAGATAGTGTTTAATAAGTTTTAGTGGAAGGAAAGTGAGAGATGATTTACCACCACATAAAGTAAATGGATGGTGTATTGAGGTTTATCAGTAGGAGTACTGAGTCACAGCTCATCATCTGGAAACCTGGAAATTTTCAGTACTACAGCAACCCAGCAGTTGCTGTATTTATTTTGGGATCAAGGGAAAAGTGACAAGTAATGTTTTTTGGAGCATATTATAAAAGAAGTAGGTTTTATCTTCTGGGTGTTTCCATTCTATAAGTTTTCTTGTCAGATTTGGGAGAACAATATTTCACTTGGCTTTCATTTTGTCTCTGAATCATTGTAACAATGGAACGTATGCTTGCAAGCTTGAATTGCTGAAGAAAAAAAGTCAGAGCTGTTTGGGAGGTGGGTGGGAAAGAGGAGGGGAGGGCAGAAGAATGAGAAATGACTGATCTAATTTTCTGTACCTCACAAACTCAGGGCAAATATGATAGCATTTGACTAATAGTCATTGTGAAGCCACCAAATGCTTGTTTTCTTTCTTTGAGAGCATTTCTCCTGTGATGGGCTAGACTTAAGAGCAGCTTTGTTTAAGACCTGAAAGAAGTGAGGACTTTTTTTGGTAAAGGGAACAGCCTGTGCAGTGTATGCGCTTCAGTGAAAAAGACAAGAACTTTCTGCTAGAATTTAATACATTTGTAACAGTTATAGGAAAGAGACCCACAGGCAAAACAATACGTTTATGGAAGATTTAGTGGAAAATGACTGAATTCTTCTAGACTGGAGGCATGTCAGTGCAGTCTCTGTGGCCAATGTACTGCTGGAAGAGACACAGTTGGACTAGCCAGCCTTTGAAGGCAGTGGCAGACCTTACTGTAGATAACCATGGAATGTCAGAGTGATATTCACTGCTCAGTAACTCTTCGTATCTTCAATCTACAATTCGTTACCTTCAATCAAAATTTAGTTGAGGAAGCAAAACTGGAAAACCTATCACCTTTTTCAATGTGTCTCCTGTATTACAATTTCAAAGAGAAAGAGAATAAACATTCAATCTAGAGATAAAATGTTCTTTATTACTTATTAGATGTAAAAGCTTGTACTATATGATTAACAAATGCCTTTGTAAGCAGAGCTATGGCACCCAAATTTTCAACGTTAACATCTTTTTCTGAATTACTGCGCCAGTGTGCCACTAGATTGTAAGGTTTTGGAGCAGAAGACCAGAACCACTGCATAGAATCACAGAATCATAGAATCATAGAATGGTTTGGGTTGGAAGGTATTTTTAAGATCACCTAGTTCCAACCCCCCTGACGCAGAGAAACCTTCCACTAGACCAGCTTGCTCAAAGCCCCATCCAGCCGGACCTTGAACACTACCAGGGATGAGGCAGCCACAGCTTCTCTGAGCAACCTGTTCCAGTGTCCCACCACCTTCACAGTAAAGATTTTTTTTTTAATGTCTAATCTAAATCTGCCCTCTTTCAGCTTAAAGCCATCCCCTCCTGTTCTGTCACTACATGCCTTCATAAAAAGTCCCTCTCCAGATTTTCTGTAGGTCCCCTTTAGGTATTCAAAGACTGCTCTAAGGTCTCCCTGGAGCCTTCTCCAGGCTGAACAAGCCCAGCTCTCTCAGCCTGTCTCCACAGGAGAGGTACTCCAGCCCTCTGATTATCTTTGAGGCCTCCTCTGGACTCTTCTTGGAGTAACCCCAAAATGCTTTTTCTAAATGCCTGTAAAACTTTTATCCTCCTTTCTATAAGTTTATTTATAATTTTTGGTGACAGCCTTGCCTGATTTTGATCTTTTTTTTACATTATGAATAGCTTGCAGATGTGCTTATATATAATTAATGTTTACTAATGTTGTGAAATTAAGTTGTTTAAACTTCTTTCAGACAAGTACCTGTCTATGTTGCTATTAACAAAGTATGTTACACTTGCTACTTGCACACAGACTTCTGGTTTACTCCTCATTAAATATTCAGATAGCCTGGTGTCTTGCTCAAGAGACATAAGAAGCGGAACTGAAAATAGACTTAACTGTGCAGAAGACTAGACAAAGGCAAGTGACTTTATTTTTGTACCTTACTTCTTAGTACCATTAGACTTCAGCATGGTATCACATTTTATAACATGACTGCATGGATTTCTGGATCACCTTGAAAATGTAGGGTTCCAAAAATAGAGAATTATCCCCAAATATTATTAGAATAAAATGTTTGTGAAAGGTAAAGATTGTCTCAGGCAACATGGAATCTATCACTCACTGTGGAAAGAATGAAGGTAACAGATTTATTACACAAATTTGAAAATAGTATTTTGTTGGTGTGATACTGCCATCAACACACCCAGCTCCTCCCAACCCCTTTTGAAGTTGGCTGGACTTAACTGGATGGGGATAGCACATTCTTTTGGTGTCAGTATCACAGCAAAGACCAATAAAAAGATACAAGCCCAGTAATTTCAAGACATTGTTTATTTCCAAAATGCAAATACATCAAGCAAAAGACAGAGAATGAGAGAACTGTTAGTAAGGAGTGATCTTCCATCAGTAAGGGAGCTGGGACAGCGCATACACCACCTCCAATTTAACCACAGTTCTAGTAACAATACAGACATTTTCCTAACGATTCCTTTCAGGTATTTATCTGCTTCTTTCGCAAAATATGTAAGCATTGCAAAACCGATTCTGAAGATCCGGCCACCTCCAGCTAAGTCACCTCTTGGCCCCAGCTGCCCCAGAGCCACCAAGAACCGGGTTTCCAGCATATTCCTTAGCATGGGAATTATCCGTAAGGGGTCAAGACAGCGCCTTCGCTTTGGTGTCGGAGCGAGGGGCGCACTTGGTACTCCCGCGACTCCCCGCGAACGGGATATGGACATCCCAGCGCTCGGGGCACACGTGGGAGACGGCCTCGGTTTGACAGCGCATCCCACGCCGCTCACCGCCTACTTCCCCCGCCGTGGCTCAGCGCGCTCGCCTCGACTCCGGCGGGAGCCGCAGCGCCCCGCGCTACCGGAGGCCGCTTCTCCGGTGCGGTGAGCGCGGCCAGGACGCTGCCGGGGGCCCGTGGGCGGGCGGCGGAGCGTGCCGCGGAGCGGGGTGCGGACAGGTGGGCTGGCGGGGGGCGGCGTGAAGGAGCGAGCGAGCAGCGCGGCGGCGTTGGCGTTGGCGGCGGCGGAGCCGGGGGCGGGCCGGCCGTGGGTAGGCAGCGGCGCGGTGCCGGGTGGTGCTGTCCCCCGCGCGGCGGTGGCGGCAGGAGCGGCGGTGGCGGGAGACCCGGCCCCGAGATAAAAAGAGAAGGGGCCGGAGGTGCGCGCTGCGGGTCGGTGCGGCGGCACCGGCACCGGCAGAAACGTGCCTGGGAGGGAGGGAGCCAGAGCAGGAGAGGGAGGCTCTGCTGAGCGACGAGCCGCCTCCCTCCATCCCTTCCTCCCTCCCTTTCCTACTCCCGCCCGCCCTCCCGCAGGACTCCCAGGCTGGCGGCGCGGCACGGCAGCACCCGGGACGCGCGGCTCCCCTTGGCTGCGCGGCGGCGGGAGGAAAGGAGGGAGGGAGGGAGGGAGGGAGGGAGGGAGGGAGGGAGCGAGCCGCGCTGGTGAGGAGGAGCCGCCGCCTCATTCTGCGGCACCGGCCGGCGGCGTGAGGAGCGCGGCGAGCGCAGGTGGGTGGGCAGCGCCCGCTGCTCTGCAGCGCCGGACCCTCGGGCTTAGCGGTGCCCCTCTGCCTCCGGTACCGTCCCGGTGGGAGGCACCTGGCCGGGCGGCTCCGTGTGCGTGGTTCGGGTGGGCGTCGCGGTGAGGGGCTCAGTGGGGCTGAAGGGGAGGCTGGGGCGTGGGGCTGTGGGGGGCTTCGCGGGGTCGCGGGCGCCGCGGTGGGGTCGGGCGTGCGGACGCGTGGGACCGCGGGTTGCCGGGGGGGCGGCGGCGGGTGTCCGTGGACGCCGGTATCGGGGCGGCGCCCGGCTGGGAGGGAAGACGGTGAGGTCCCCGACGGGTCCCCGCGGCGTCCCCGCTGCCGTGAGTGCCTTCCCGCCCGAGGGAGGCGGGAGGGTTAGCTGGAGGTGCGCGTTGGGACGCAGGCAAGCCCCACCGGTGGCTGGGGCTTTATTCATTTATTTATTATTTATATATATGTGTATATACATATACACACACACACATATATATATATATATATATAAAGAGCAACTAGTTCTTGGAAAACCGCGTTTGATTTCGGTTTCCGTTCCAGCGTGAGGTTCCTGGTGAAGGCTGCGATCGCTGTTGTAAGGCAGCGCAGGGGTGCGGGTCCCCGGCGGCCGCGGACATCCGTGTGCTCGCCGTGGCGCGGTGGACGGAGTTAGCTTCTCTCCTTAATGTGTTGAGAGGGTTTTCCCAGACTGGGATACAGTGGGAACGTTCGGCCGACTGCTTCCAGGGACGGCAGGGGTAATTCAGAACATGAAGAATGGGGAGTGCATATGTACGCAAAAGCCAGTGTTCCCCCCGAGCTTGTACTCTGAAACTTAATTATTCGGTGAACCCCCTGTTCTGAACACCAGCAAGCTTTGCGTTTTCCAGGAAGCCCTGAATTTTCTGGTTTATCATGTTTTCAGGAAAGGGTTAACTTGAGGGCTCTGCTTACTTCGTGGTTTAGGTCTTATTTTGATGCAAACGGTTAATTTAGTAAAAACAGTGGCATGGTCCTCCAGGTACTGTAAACTGGGCATAAACCAGTTTCATTGTATGAAAAAGTTCAAGATCACTTTTAAGTTCTATGAGATATTCTTCCAAATACTAGCGTTTCTTTTTGTTTGTTTTGTTTTTTGTTTGGGGTGCGTATGTTTGTATGTATTTCTTTACAACCTGTATGAGGTAACTAAGCTGAGCATGGAAATTACATTGCTGCAAAACTGTGTTCATTTTTGTTTTTTCAGATGGAAGATCAAATGAAATTAGTTTTTGTATTTACCAAATAATGAAGTGCAGGTGTATTTTGTGTTGCTGCTTCAGAAGTCACCTTGCTCTGTCAAGGTTATGATGTGTCCACTAAGCAATAAGGATAACTTAAAAATCTGTAAAGCCCATATCTGTCTCTGAGAGTTTTAAATGTTCTGTGGGGTTAAAGTGAGTTGGGACTGTGATTTTTTTTTTTTTTTTAACTTCCTTCCTGAAATTTATTAAAGAGAAAAATTGCAAATAACTCTGAGTATCTTAACACACCTTTTACAAAGGAGAATGCTTTAGAGTGGTTGTATAGAAAAAGAAGTGAGCTGAAACATTGTGGTAATGGGATTTGCAGCATAAAATATGGCTAATTTCTCTTGTATGACTACAGGTGGCAGTGTAGAAGCCAAGAACAAAATTTGGCAGAAATTGTTCTGTGTGCAAGAAAATGAAGAGTGTACTCATGACTAAGCACAGCAACCTGGAAAACCACAGGTATGTGAAGTGATTCATACAACTGCCTATGGTGCACCTAGTATTTACTGTATTCTGATGTTCCTGGCTCAATAGGTGGTTTTGGACCAATTATCACTTAATGTATTCACAGTAAGAGCCTAATCAAAATGTCATGGAAAAATCTATATTTGATCACTAAAAGGGGCAAAAATACTTTGAAGGCAGTATGCAAGAAGAGGTGGGATCTTCCCACTTCTTCATGGTTTATTTTAAAGATAAAGAATTGGAGCACTAGGTTGCATGAAGGTATTTTTTTTCCTTCTAAATAAATAGATTTCATATTGATAAACCTAGCAGCATTTATTGGCTTGAATATACTTGAAAAGGAGAAAAAGAAGAAACTTTAGAGAAGATAGGAAGATTTGCAGGCCTGGATGTTCTGGATGTCTTTTCAGTATCAGTACTGTTTTTATGAGCAATGAAGAATGGAAAGCTCAAGGAGAATTACAGAATTAAGAAGATGTAACTAAGAAGATGTCATTTCATGTAACTGGCCAGTGGTGGTGCATATGTGCTGTTAAGGGTTAAATCTTACAAGATTAAAAAAAATAAATAAATAAAATCTGTAATGTTGTTTTCTGTTAAAAAAAAAAAGGTAAAAATAAGCAGTACATAATAAAAGCTCATGATGAGCTTTCATATTTCAATCCAAAGGGAAATACTAAATTACCTTCATAATTATTTTTTCTCATTAATTAGCAATGTTAGAGTGAGGCAGACTTTTTCTTGTATGTTTACATTGGTGTGCACAGCCTCTAGAAATTAGTCCATGGGTCTGCATTCCAGGATTGCTGTGAGGCCATGGAGGACGAGATGAACTCGGAGCTGGAGCTTGAGGATTTTTTTGGAAGTGATGAGTGGGAAGTTATACTGGTAAGATGTGTCAAAGTGGAATTATCACTGTGTTTATGAATATATTTATACTGTTGCATTTGATGGTTGTTATTCTAGTCTGAGAAGGTTTTTTTTATCTAAACCTTTAAATTGCTTCTGTGAGGTCGTGGTTATACCACAAATATCCGCAGATGACAAAGTCCCCTTGTGTCAGCTGTCCTGCAGTATCTGGACCTTGGCCACAGTTTTAGTTCTCGCTAGTTGTGAGGTAGGTTGCAGAAAGAATGATTTATTTCACTGTTAGAATGGCTAAGAGTGTACATCCCATTAGGTATAGCCAATAGCTGTCACCAGTAAACTGTTAAATGATGACAGCTTGACATCTTGACATCCTGAAATCCAAGTCAAAATAATATTATTTTTTTTTTTTAATCCACTGTTTAAAAAAGCATTCAGGAAACTACAGGTATAGCTTTGTGGGCACCTGTACCCTGAAACTGTAAGCTCTGTGTAGAGAGGCTGTATCTCTGTTGGTAAATAGCAAGACCCTAATCTGAGTGGGGTTTTGTGAGTGCCTTCATAAAGCTTTCAAAATACCGTGTGCCTTCATAGGGTACCCTGAAGAGCTATTGCAGTTCTTGACTCCAATTTAAATATAAAAAGGTGGATAAATCAAGATCTTTGCGGCAGTTCTGCAGGGGACAGCTCTTCTAACCACTTTTGGCCGTCATGTCACTGGGTTGTCTCCTGTTCTGAGCGGGGACTCACTCTGGTGTAGCTGTGGAGAAAAAAGCATCAGTGCTAATTTCTATACAGCCCCATAGTTCTTTTATTATTATCTCTTATTGAGCAAAACAGTTAAGTATACTTTAAAACCTTAAATTAATAGATCTGATAAAGTCAGTTGAACTGTTTATGTAGTACAGGTCAGCATATGCTTATGGCTGCTTTGAACATTATTGAGTTCATTTGTTTGTGCTAACACATTTAGAACGGAAAATGAAAATGTTGTTTGTCTTTGGTACAAAATTTTAATGGGGTCTTTCAATACATCAAGTGTTCAAAATTTTAAATAAAAAAACCTTTGGTAACTAAGCAGTGTGATGTTCAAGAGTTCAATTTACAGACACTTGTCTGTGCTAATTATGAAGTATTGACATGAATGAATGAAACTATTTGTTAAAGTGCCTTCTGCAGTGTATAGCAGTTATGTGTTCACAAGATGATTCATAACATTCTGCAATTTGTGATGAGTTTCCCTGCCATTACTGGAGATTACTAAGTAGCTAATGTATTTGCAGTACACTGGGTTACTTTAAATTAGATTTGATGGTGGAAAGGAAAAGAGAACCATTTACTATCAACTGAAAAATCAGGCCTGTTTTATGAATCAGTTAGTATTGAGTTTCACTTTACTGTATGGTACAATTTATCCTTTACAATAAAATGCAAATGTTTAATCATCTTGCCTATAAATACAGCCATGACAGTGTGTGTGGGAAACCCTCAAGAATTCTTTTGTGTTTAAAGTTGTGTACATTATAGCTAATAAAATGTAGCAGACTTGGTGTAAGTGAAAGTAGAATTCATAGTAAAAAATCTAGTTTTGGAAACTAAATGTGTAAGGTCCCATTTTGAATTGACAAGTCTTGGTTATAGGGACTACTCTTTGATTTGATGTGGGATGTATTTGTTAAGTACAGCTCCCATTAGCAGTTCAACAGATGCTGCATCTTGGAAAACTGTTTTGAGCTGTTTTGAACTGAAAGTTGTGGCTGGGTATGTGTCTGCTGTTGTCTTAAGAAAACTGTATTTAAGGCCTCACACAATTAGTCATTTCATACAATCATAAAGGTGGCTGTAATCCATTAGATTATAAAGCATGATTGCCTGGCAGTTACTGGAAATACCTGTCAGTGATACCAGTATTTTACACAAGAAAAATTAAACTTTCTCGCTCCTTTAGTACCTGTGGAGGATTATCTTGAAAATGCTTTGTGGGAACCTAGAGAATGTACTAGGTCCATGGATTAATGATGGCGAATGGAAGGCAGATGAAGGATTTTTTTGTTTATTTTATTTTTAAAAACCTTAATAGGCCAGTATCAAAGGCAGATTTTTAGAAAGCCACTAGAATGTCTATCAGGAGGATGAGAATGGTCTGATTCAAAGTTGAGGGCAAGGGGAAAGGGGAAGGAGGCACAAAGTGAAAACTTCAGCGAAAGTACACTGAGAGTAAGCCTAAAACACAAGTTGTGTGCCAAGGCCATTAGCTTGGAAACTTTGGTTTCACAGGCTAGAGGTTGATACCAGGTTTCCAGTTAGAAAAGAGTAGCATTTTCTTACTCTCAACAGTATTAATACACCTGTTAAACCAAAGAGATAGTTACGACATTGCAAGATGCCCATTGTAGATTACTATAACTGAAGTGGACTCTTGTCCACTTCAAAAGTCACAACATGCTAAGTATATGTGTAAGGAAAGTATATTTAATTACAAATGTGTAAACTAAACCTCCAGGCATGTAGTCTCACTGCTTATCTCTAAGCAGGCTGCCACTGGGCTTCTATGAGGGGTAACTCCTAATTTGGAGGACATCAAACCTGTAAAGGAGAAATGATCCTGAAATTTCATCCTGTAGATGAGACCTTGCTCTCACGTGATGGCCAGCTATCCTTTTGCTCGGAGAATGCCATTGCATGGTATTGAGTCTAGGTGATAGATGGATATCTCCTGACAACTAAGTGGAGTGCAGCTGGCTGAGTTTATGTTGCTGAAAGGGAGCATACCTTCCAACTACATGCCAAGGAGGCTTACAACAAAAGAAGTCTAGGCTACGTTTTTGTGCTGGAGAAGTAGGTGGAGAAGTGCTGGTGACATAGACGGGCTACCAAAATAGTGCTGGAAACATCATCTGAGTAGCTAAATAGAAGGTTAAGAATAAAGACCTCTGCAGCATCAGTCTGCACTGTAATCCCAACATTCTGAGTGAGGACAAGCAGAAAAGACACACAGGTCAAGATGCCACAGCCTCTGGGGTTGAAGGCCTTAACATTGCTGTGCATATGACAGAAATGGATGAAGGTCATATAGAGAACATGAAAAATTAGGTCAAATATAGACAGGAGCACAGAAGAATAGGCAGTCAGATGAAAATAGAACTGTTCTATGCAAATGGTAGAAGACTAGAAGATTAAGATGGAGGGAGTGAATGGTTAGTTCTAAGGTAAGTTATTGATGGCATAGGTCTACCATAGAGAAGGTAGCCAGCAGGGCATTCATTAGAATTTCTATGGAAAACCTGGTCCGGGGAACAGTCAAATGAGTAAAATGCTTGTAGCCAGTGTGGAGAGACTCAGAACAAATGCATATCCCCAAGCAAATCCTTCTCTGACCCTCAACCCATGGTTGAGCAGGCTATAAGAAACAGAAAACTTCAAAAACTTATGTCCAAAACATAAAAAAGTGAAAATAGGGTAAATTAGGCATAAAATACACAGTAAAACAAGTTAAAGCCTAATAAGTGATTTTTAAAAGGCAGAGAAGCTTTTTAAGAGTACTCTTTCAAAAACATCAAAACCAGGAAGGCCATTGGGTCAATAGATAACTAAGATCTAAAAGAGCTCAAAAAAATGCTCACTGTGTAGGACCTCATATTCCCAAAACAAAATTTTTCTCCTGTGGGGAGAGAAGCACAAGGTACCATTGAGGCATCTCTTCCAAATCAAGAGATGCTGGAATATTTCGGTTTTTAGAAAAAAACTGTAGAAATGGGTTACAGCATTTGTTACAACAAAAATTGCCAAGTCTGAATGCATCCAAGACCTCTGGAAGAGCTCTCTGTAAAATTGCTGAACTGTTAATGCTGGTGTTTAACAGCAGTACTGGTGTGGTAGCAGTGAACTTGAGCATGCCAAAGGTGTTGCCAGTTTCAAAAAGGCATCCAGAAAGCCTGTAGGAAAGAACAGGATAAGTATGACTGGCATTCATACCAGTCAATTTGTTGGTAAATACAGTGAAGAAGAAAACTAATGGATTCATGGACAAATTTGATATAAGAGTCAGAACAATCTCAGAGGTTTGATAGAGTTCTTTGAAGACACTGTTTAGGTTGTAAGTGTGATTTAGCTGATGCAGTACTCTTCAGTTTCAGAAAGTCTTTTGAGAACTATTTGCCAAAGGTGCTGAGTGAAATGAAACTGCTCTGACATAAGAGGAAAGTTCTCTCCTAGACTGATAGTTGGTTGAAAAATGAGGTAGGAATAAATGACCTGTTTTCACAGAGGGGACAGAGGTCACTCGTGGAGTTGCGCATGGATGTGTGCTGGGCTTAACACTAGTCTGCATATGCATTGGTGATCTGGACACATGAGTGCAGAATGACTCTAAGTTAATGAGGGTAGCAAAAATGGAAGCTAATTATGAAGAATCAAAGAGGGATCTTGTGATGCTTAGTAACTGGAGATGAAGCTTGCTGCTGATACTATGAAGTAATGCATGCAGGGGAGAACAATCCTGCTATTATTGAGGCTGTAAGCTATTAGCACCAAAGGAAGTGATGTAGAGAGCTTACTATAGTAAATCCAAACATTGGTTAAGTGTTTAAGACTGGTAAAAAAAAAAAATAATCAGGGAAGAATGGCCAACAGAGCTTAAGTCTGCTATGCCAGTCTATAAACTGCCTGTGTTTTTGTCTCGACTCTGGGGGCAGTTCTGATCCCCGTATTTAAAGGAAGGGTGAGGGGAAAAAAAAAAAGAGAGAGATAATAGAACTAGAAATGGGTGACAGTGATAAAGAGCAATTAAATAGATTAAGGATCTTCAGCCTAGCAAAGAAATAGCTAACAGGAGTTGTGGAGTCTCCTACATTGGAGATATTCAAGGCCCACTTGGACAAGTTTCTGTGTGATGTACTCTAGGTTACCCTGCTCTTGCAGGTGGGTTGGACTAGGTGATCTTTTGAGGTCCCTTCCAACCCTTGGGATTCTGTGATTCTGTCAAAATGATAAGAATCTATATAGGAGTGTAATGGAAAAAA